ACAACATACACTTAATGTCTGGTCGCGAGGGGAATTGTTAGTTTTGTTTTCCCGAGAGTTTCCCGAGGGACCAGACATTAAGTGTTTTGTTATATAGCAATTGAGAAATATTGAGAAGTCAGTTATTTTACGAAATAAGGACTTTATTTAGCAAGCTAAAAATGCATGAAAACTGACCATGATTTTACAAATGCAAAATATGGCAAAATATCTGCTCCCGCTCTATTGCTTTTGATTGGTGCAAAAAATAACGCCATCAGCGATTTCCACGTTCTGATCACGTGCACTTGTTATTTTTACGATTATTGTCACGTGCAACTTATTTCCGGGATACATTTAGATTTAACTAGTGTCACGTGGTCATCTTTCAACCAATACGAGTGTTCGTTTTATCGGATAATTTCGTAACTACATAACAAACAATCTTAATATTCATCAAGACAAATGGAAACCGTTCCACAATTTTTTACCCCCAATTTTCAGTTAACTGCAATTACTAAACCAAATAATAATGGTAATGATAATTTCAAAAAAAAAATTTTTGTAAATCATTATTGTGAAAAGATATCTTTGTTTGTGTATATATACACCTACTTGCAAGAACGTTGTCATTTAAGCAATAGAAAACCTTTTCCGTGTTTACATAGCCTGATAGCAACACGAGGGGAGGTTGGGAGAATTCGAGACAGTTATACAAACCCGAGACGTAGTCGAGGGTTTGCATAACTGTCGAGAATTCTCCCAACCCCCCCGAGTGTTKCTATCAGGCTATGTAAACACAGAGAAAAAGTTTTCTATTGCTTTTATAAAATAAATACTAAGGGAAAACATTACCACTTGCAAGAAAATAAATCTTTATTTGAATTTGATTCTCATATCAAAATACAAATTCTCCATACATCACGAACTTCGATCGTTAGCCAATCAAATTTTGTGTAATAAACGCCAAGGAGGCAAATGTGAAGCGAGAAAGAATCGCTAGCTATTTTAAACATTTATCATTCTAAAACTTTAAAACAAATACAAAGAAATGCCCAAAGATTGAATAGCAATCTTAATAAAAGAATTCAGAATTGATTATCTTTACGAAAGTGATCAAAAGTGGATTACAAGTGTCACTGTGAATGGAATTCTCGGTTGAAAGAAACGTGGTTTTGCTCAATTTGACAGCGAGAAAACATGGCAGCGAAGTTGATTGTTTCGTCTTGCCTCGAGAAGATATTTTGTGGAGCTGAAGAGCTATCGCTGAAAAAAGTTTGAAGCTGCTGACTGTTTCCTTGAAATACTTGTATTCTTTATCGGGCGGTGCATTTCAATCATGAGAAAGCACGTCGCTGAACAACCGCAGCTGTCCTGACGGAGGACGTGTGTTGTAGCTCCTGAGGGAATTCTCTTTGCGGTGACCAACGAGAGATTGTCATGATATTACGATCAGAAAGACCTGCATGAAACCATAGGGTTATGCCTGTGGCCCTGACCCAAGTCAAAATTTGGAACTTCGTTCCCAAAAATTTTGGGGGCGTTTTTTTCCTCGAAAGAAACTGTAAATTTTTAATTTTTGAACTTGTACCGGGAAAACACGAAAGTTGTGACGTCACAACTGTGTTTACATACCCTCATGCAAACATGGCTATCAACCAATCACAGCGTGCGTACTATTTAATTTATTTTATAAACGAATAGAACATTAGTGATTTAGTGGGATAGGAATTATATTAAAAAACAAAAGAAGATCACTGAAGCTGAACTTTTTCTTTTGTCTTTTGATGTATACCTTTCTCACTAAATTACTAATGTTCTATTCTTGTATGATAACCATCTTGCAAGTAGGTGTATATGTAGTATAATTTTAGACTTGAATATAAAGTTTCTCAAGCTGTGATTGGACGAGCGGGCAGTGATTCTGAGACGATAATCAAGGCTAGAGCTGTGATTATGAGGTTTTCCTAATTTTCCAGATCGGAAGTAATACTAACTACGTTTTATCGTCCTGAATTTCTACTTTTCTCTGATATTCAAGTCTAAAATTAGAATTATACTAAACCAATTATTCCCCTAGGGCTCAGTGATTATATATACAGTCCTTCTACTAATTGTCATCGGCTTCATCCCTACGCGCCTAGACCGAAAAGGATCATGGGGATAATTAATTCACAGTTACTAGCTGCAGCATATGTGATCTAACACGTCTTGAGCGCGCTGTTTTCGATCCCATTTAATTTGCTAAAACCATGCCTTGAGCATACGGCGAAGATTTAAACTGGCAAGCAGTTTGGATGACGCAAGTTTTGGGTAATTTACCCGTTATCCTTTTCGGTCTAGGCGCGTATGGATGATCCGACGACAACGTTTAGTCAAAGGACTGTATAGCCGTGATATTTACCTCGCAGATCGAAGACTCGCGGCTCGGTAAATATTTCCAACGATAATCACTTCGCCCTCGGCGAATAATTGTCAGATATTCTTTATTTATTCATATTAACTGTCCGTTATGTATTAGTATCTATAGGTAATGTTCACTGTTTATCATTTATTTTATTAATTTATTCATATTGATAAGTGTTCAAAATGACTTTGTAAATAATCATTGTTAAGTGTAAAAATAAAGTTTTTAAAATTATTTAAGCTTTAAAGTGTTTATGGCACAAAAACATTGCATTGCTTAAAATGTGTAGTCTTTTAGTGAAATAAAAATATAATGAAATTCGTTTCCAAAACTTATTATTTCTTAGATAATTGAGAAAATTAAGCACAATTTCTGAAGTCATTTTGTTGACGTGTATCTAGATTGGGTAGTAATGCATCAAATATAAAATGTAGTGTGTATAAAATAACAGGAAAAGGCAGATTCTTTTCAGCTTCACTTGATAGTTTACGTAGTAATCTTAATTGTTGGAAAACTACAAAGTGTACTACCTGACATTAAGGCCCCGTCCACACGTATCCGGGAATTTTTGTATACGCAAATTATACGCGTCCACACGCAGCGTTTTCGAATCGTTTTCACCGTCCACACGTATCCGTTTTCGTAAAATTTGCGGATACGGATACGGACACAAAAATTTCCGGACACGTGTGGACGCAACCCGTATCCGCAAAAAAAAAAATTTGCGGATACGTGTGGACGGGGCCTAAGATTCTACATTCAAACATATTTCGTGCATTTGCAACGAAATCTGGAGACTTGTAAACAAAATGACATCACAGATTGTGCTAAATTTCCTTCGAATTCTAGAAGTCCCGCGTCTGGGGCTCAGATTTTTCTGAGTCAGACGTTGTTCCAATCTTGTCTTCTTTCATATGTAATTCTAGAGAAATACGTTCTTTAACAAATTTAACCATGATATTCATATTAATACCAAATAACTACACATTTTCAACATTAAGCATGTTTCGTGTCCTATACCCTTTAAGTCAGAGACAGCTAATGATAACTAGAATAATGAATCGTGACCTCAATATACAGATCTCTAGGAATTAAATTATATATTAGTGATTATATATTTAGTGATACGATGATATCTAAAGCAATTAGAAGACACAAGGTACAGCTATTTTCAGGTACGTAGCGGAATCTTGATTATAGGGAGCAATGTACCTTTTCCCAGCCAAATCCGCAGGAATCCCGCACGAATTAATATTAACTTTTGATTACAAAAGCAAACTTTCGATGGGGCACGTGCCACCTCCAACTCCCCTGTTATGCTAGTAAATATTTTGCAAATCGTGCGTTCTAATTGGTTTATTTCACTATTTTACCACTTAAGCTCTATTTCTCATCTCAGTCCTTTGTTGAGAGAAAAGCCGTTATATTTTTATGAAATAATATTTTAAGTTTTTTTTTTTTTTTTTTTTTTTTTTTTTTTTTTTTTTTTTTCTAATGATACTCAACTGGCTATTTACAAGTTTTTGAGAGTGTTTTGATTGCCTAGGGTGCTATAAGCACTATTTCTCTTTAAGAGGTTTTTTCGTGACCGCTTAAAAAACAATGATAATAGTATGGTCAATCGAAACTTTTGTTTAACCATGGCCAGAGGCAATAAGAAAGTTGAAAAATAAAATCGAATAAGCTTGAGGTATCATGGTTTCCCTAGCGACCGTTGAGCACTTTTGTTGGTATAGAAGTTAAGGACACCACACATTTTCCCCTACGAAAGATCAAGCAACAAGTTACCAAAATTGCATTACTTTATTACCTTTATTCGGGGCGAGTTAGGCGGGAAGTGCTAGCAAATTTCCAACTGAGCTTTCTTTCTTTAACAGTGCTTTTCAAGGGCGGATCCAGCCAAAATTTTACGGGTGGGGCGGGGGGCTAATTGAGGTTTTTCCGTCAACACAACGGAAAACAATAAAAAAAGCATCTAATTCTTCAGCTTTGTTTTGTCTTTTTTTTTTCTGCCTTTGCCCCCACCCCCCTGGATCCGCCATTGCTTTTGATATCGATAGTATCCTAGTATCCACGTTTTGAATTGCTTCGCTGAGGATTTTAACTTTTATCTTTAAAAGTACGTCTGAATAAAAAAATCAAGCATTCAGCAGGAAAACAAAATCAAGTTCCACAAGCATCCCAGATCAAACAGCGATCGTGACGACAGATTGTTGATAAGCGATTTCAGCAATAAGTTTAATAGTATTAAACGTTAAAAGAACTTTTTTTTGGTTTAGTTGCTTGTTATTTTTATTTTTTCTCGTTATTTATTTATTTTTATTCGAGAAATAATAGTTTAATGTGTATTATCTTTAAGGGAACCCTTCGTTGCCCCTGAAATAATTATTCTTAGTTTTAATACTACATTTTATAATATGTTTGTTTTCTTTTTCGATATATGCTCTTACAACTCAAGGGCACTAAATATTGTATTGCTTCGCACTAGAACACCCATTAACCAAGCTCACCCCTAATTGAAAGATATCATTTGCTAATTGCTCATAAATAACAATTAGATAATGTTTTGACAAATACCGCAAGTATAAATAAAGCTCCTCCCTGCTGTGATAAATTTGTCCAACTCGACAATTGAGACACAAAGCGTCACGAAGAATCGACAATCTCAGGTTGGTACTTATTGCTCGTTAACTTGGTTGAATATAACAAAACACTTGCCATTTTTACCGTTCTAAATCATTAGACATAACTGTCGTCTCTTGTTATTTCCTTTCTCTTCGAAATTGTAAACAACCATCTTTTGTGCTGTTGTTTATGTTTTAATAAAGTTTAACTCCCAAAAAAAAAATCACAAAAACTGCAGTTTGAGAAAGAGAAATTAAGGATTTTTTAAAATATTAATTGTTTTTGAAAATCTCAATTCTTAAAATCTGAACATAGAATTTTGTTGAAACTCAAATATGCGATAGCTAGCCTTGTTCATGTTACGTTAATTATAATAAAAAGATAGGTCGCCGTGTTCGTTTACACGATACAACTCTCTGAAATACGAAACGGGGCTTCAAAACATAGAATGGGTGAGGGAAGACTAAGGCGAGTTTTAAATCATGATATATACGAACTACATTGGACAAATTTTAGCGCCGATTAACGCCTACATCGTTCCACTGTAATGGTGCGCAGTGAAAAACTGGAATTACCTTGACGTGAAAAGGCCTTGTTGCACCTTTTTCATCAAATAGTGTTTTTCCTGTTCCTGAGTTTTCCCTACTCCGAAAAAAACGTTGGCATCTTAAATATATGAGCTAGACGTCTCAGTTCTGATGTAAAATCACCAAGATCCTTTTCGGGTTGCGAAAAATTTACTGTTTTTGGGGAGGATGGTTGGGGTGTCAGTGTGGATTAAGACGTAAGTAGGGTTGGGTTAAGGTAAATATGTTTTTTTTGTGACTATGCATTTGAGAGTTTGTAATATCTTGTCTTATCTTTGTAATATGTCGTCTATTTTGCACCATTTAGGTTTAAAACTAGATTCTTTAAACGATGAAAGTGCACTTAGTGGAAGTAAAATAAGCAAATATAAAAGGGGGGTTACCGACTTCCTTTAGCCTTGAGATTGCGTGAACAACGCAAACATGAAAAGCTTTAAAAAAAGAAGCCATATTTTATTGAAAAATGAATGGATCGTCCCCATTTTCCCCAGAACTTAAAAAAATAACATTAAAAGTAGAAATATAAAATCATATTGATCTAGAAAACACTGATATGTATTGAAGTTATGCAAAAAATACTTGCTTTCTATTTAATCCCACCGGGGGGGGGGGGGGTTCAAAGACTTTGAGAATTGATATAAATTAACCAATTTCCTCCAGTTTTACGTGTTATGTCTTCTTGAACACATTATGACAGCTAGATGACGAAAACAGCGGTGAATAAGAGGACATACTACAGAAAACTGGAGTACTGAGTAAAGTCATGTTTATAGAAAAAAACTTTATTTAGAGTTGAAGACTTGAGTAGATTGATTTGATCTCTGAATAAACACTCGCCAAAATCCGATATCTAAAAAAAAGATATTGCCTTTCACCTTTGTAAATGCCCAATGAACTTTTTATAATAGTAAAAGCCTTGGGCTAGCATGAGCCTTGCTCGGGCCCAAATTAAACACATGACACCCTCGAACATGAACTCTATTGTTATATTAATTATTTGTTACTCGAAATAACGCACAGGAAGAAAAGACTAATTCAAGCTTTCAAGATGTGGATGAAGACTCCTTTCTTCGTAATCTTGATCATAAGTATGTTTATTTATTTTATGATAGACTAACATGTTAAATCCATATGAGGTGAATAGGGAGACTCGGGAAGGACTCCCAGTATGTCACTACGTAAAATAAAGACTAATTGTTTATTAAGATCAAAGAGTAATAGTTTGTGTTTATCTTATACAGGTATTATTGCAACACCTAGCTTTACTCAGGCGAAAGACGAAGACCACATTCTTCGTGATCGTGCTCCGTTCTACCAAGATTTTACCAATGATGCAGGCGGTCGTCCAGGCAGTGGAGGTGGTGGCTCATTTGGTGGAGGTGGTGGAGGTGGAGGAGGTGGTAGCAGCGGCGGTCGTCCAGGCAGGTGATGTGGCGGCTCATTTGGATGGGTCGATAGAAAGGTTAGTTTGAGACGAAAAAAAGTTTTTTTGAGATTAAAAATAGTTGTGTATACATATCTACATACGGTCAATATCATTAAAGATGTCCACCGAAAAAAAACATTTACACATTTACACATTTAGACTAAAAAGAAATATCACGTGTTTCATTATGTATTCTTTGCCTTGTGTGCGTCAGCCTGAACTTTAAATGTAAAATTCAACT